AAGAAAATGCACCTTTTCTTTCAGCTAGCCGGTGAAATGCACAGAGGATGTGACAGTCAAAGAACAAGCAAGTCCCCTGTTAGATCAAAGGACACCATCGCATGTGCTGAGCCCATTTTACTCTGGAATTGTTTCATCCACTGTTTAATACAGATGAGTTTCTAAGCGATCCCTGGGTGTCCAATACATAGAGAAAAGTCTATTTGTTGCATGGCTCAGTTTCTTATTTTTCTGCAGGACAATAGAAAACCCCTGTGCTTCATAGCTCTTCTCTGCCAAAGTACAACAGAGCTCTTGTTACATTTTCAGTTAAGTTCCTTATACAGTATGATGGCTTTCTGGGTTGCTGTTCTTCCTCACCACACATCTACAGAGAGAAATAGAAAAGTGGCATCATTGTGTATTACTCAAAACCTCAGGACTAGTAGCAAAGAAAATCTTCCCTTAATTCTGTAACAGGGGGTGTTTATGTGCACATTAGGTGAGTTCAAATCAGAATGAATTTCCTAAAGAAAAGGCATTGTTCCTTGCACAGGAGGAGCTGCAGCAGGTTCATGGGCTGCCACAGAGAGGGATAAAGAAGAGTCTGTCTTCATGCAAGATGCAGTGTCTCAGAGGAAACAGAGTGACCAGAGTGGCAAATGCCCTTGGTTACCACAAGAAATATTTAGAAGTTACATAGCTTCACTCAGCTTTTAATCAGGGTGCAAGAGTGCCATTGCCTATCTAAAATTCAGGCAGACATCCTTAGCCTGCCAGCATCCAACAGTAGAGCTTGAAAGCTACTAGACAGCAAAAAAATTGACCGATTAGTAATAATAATAATGTTAATTCTGAACAAGAGCAGAGACGGTGTCACATGCTATGGCCGTCTGTGGTCTCATGTAGGAGGTCTGACGAGAGTATGGCAGTTCCTGTATCCATACCTGTAACCTTAAATCCTTTATTTTCTTTCTAGCATTGCAGCTTCCAGTATATAGGTAGGAAAAAATCCAGAGCCTTTGGTCCTCATTAAAGCAGGGTAGCCAACAACAGGCTACCCTTGGGGGGTCTCGCTGGGCAGCCTGAAAGCATAGCTCTGAGAAATGTTGTGTTAAAATTAGTTTGAGGCCCATACCTAAGCGCTGCGTTGGTTGGGTGTGAAGTGCCACATATGTCTGGTCTACATGATCTGCACTGGCTGAATTCAATGGACAAAGCTAAAGCCTCTCCATACGCAGAGGTGGACTGGCATAGCGCTGATCTTTCAGACTTGGAGGTAAGCAAACACCAAAGCAGGAGCAGGAGGAGGAAGAAACAGTAACACCGGAATGGAAAGCCAAGTGCCTGGTATGGGTGTCTGCTCTGGTAGTGGTTCACCGCTGATCAAAGCCCACTGGAAAGAACATCCGTGCCCCCACCCTGGGAGAGCCTGGGGGGACACCGGAGCTCAGTGCAGGGGGAGGACAGCCCCGGGAGCCAGCAGATGCTCACCAGGTGTGTGTCCCCCCCTCAAAGCCAGGGCCAGCAAGAAGAGCACCCCAATTTGCTTCCAGGGGGTAGAGTACTGCCACGGTTAGGCTTTGTAATGCCTCCCTCCCCTTCTCTGGCAATCACTAATACTCACTTAGTGAATGCTTTTCAAATTACGGTCAAGGCTGCTTCATCTATCTTGGCATTGACTCACTCCAGGAAGGGGGGCGTGTGTGTAGGTAAGCGCGTAGGGTTGTGGGCGAGGTGTGCACGGTGATTCTGGACTCTGTGCCCAGCAGCCTGGATGTTGCTGTCTGGAGGGGACAGCGGGTGGGTACCGCACAGGTATGGCAGAAGCCCCGCGCTTTTGCTGGCCGGCCCAGCAGCTCTGCGCCTGGCTGGCGAGGACCAGAAGAGCGCCCAGAGGGGGCCGTGCCGGGGCAGCCTCCATCCTCCTGCTGTCCTGCTGCGTCTGCATGAGGTGCCTGGAGCATGCTTTTCCTCCACGTTATATACAGCAACACCCGCAGTGAAAATCTGAAAGTACAGCTGCATAAAAGAGCGCTTGTTTTACACCTGTCTAGTGAAACCACTGCCTTTTCACTTACATAATTTAATTTAATCTGGTACTTTTTGAGAATCTCAGAACTACTTACACATATCACCAGAAGTCCACGACACACCTCCCTTAGCCCATGTGTTCAATAAGGAGCACTGGGCCTGCATTTTACCAGAGCTCATTTTGGCACTAAGCTGGGGCAAGGTTTGCAGATGTTCTGGGGATGCAGCACCCCATGTTGTGATGCAGACACCCCTGGGTGCAAAAGGAGGCAGCCACCACAGGCCAAACCACCCTGACGTGGCAGCTTCCCTCTTTGGAAAGTCTGGTATGGGTTTAACAACACACCGAAACGCTTTCCTGAAGAGGAAGACCAGGAGAATCAGGTATCACAGTGGAGCTATGGGGCATGTTTGAGGAGCTGCTGTGGCCGCTGCAGCACGTGAATAAAGAAACGGGGCATACTGCAGCCAGTCTGAATTGAAGAGGGATTTCTGCTAAAATCGCAGCAGCCACCTCCTTTGCTGCTTCATCGGGCATGGACCAAGTGTAAGTCACAGGCATGCAGGAGAGAGGCACCATCAGGGTGACAATCTCTTGCTGTGGAGGAAAAAAAATCGTTCTGGTCTGTCCAACTGGACTGCCCAGGGACTGAGAGGAATTTGGCAGGTCCCTTCACAGCTCTGACAATGATTTGTTGTGTGGTTTGGGGCAGCTCATCTGTTTAATCACTGTATTGCAGCTTGTGCACACATTGAAGCAAAAAGCATGCATATTTAGCAGGACTGTCTTGCAATTTATATTTATATAGCATATTTTGAATTAGAAGCATTACATATCATCTACTGCTGTTGCGTTCATACTAAATCAGTAGCAGACTGCTGCAGGTTATGTTATTTTGAGTTTTGTGTCAATAGCTGAGACTGTTCTTGGCCCAGATTTTTTTTTTTTTTAGGTCATATATATACATTTATAGTCCTGCATTATTAATAGCTGCTTAGAATTTTCCACAGCTCTGGATATTTCCTTTCACAGGAAAGTACAACAGAACAGGAATCTGGAATATGTTGCTTGCTCCAATGCCATAGTGATAGCAGTATTTCATACAGTGGTAGTAATACATGCTGCAGTAAATTCTGCTGGTTTGTCCGAGGCAGGCAGATCCTAACAGGTGCACACGTGTGTAACTCCATTAACTCAACCAGAGCTATATTAGTTTAGCCACGGAAGTGGCCCTGAGGATCTTTTTATATGTTGGAGTTATTGGTTGAGTGGGACACATTCAGTCACTCTGGTTGTATTTATGAGGAGTCATTCAATCAGGGTTTCATTGGCTTTTTGAGAATGTCTCAACTAAACTGGGGGAACAACATTATTCTAAGGAGAAATTGCTAGTAGAATTTTTTCCACTCACCTGTTTTGGAGGGTTTTCCTTCATTTATTCAAATGTGGACAACAGCCATCTACCTGCATCGGCTCCCTGTTGTACTTCGCTTGTCACGCTGCTATTGATTCAGAATCAAAGCACTGATGTGGTTTCAAATGCATACCTCAATCATGGACAACTACTGACCATCATTATCAATGCAAATGCATGCCAATCATGATGGTTACACAACCTCTGATATATATTCAAGTATGCACTATTATAGCTGATGGATAAAACTCTAGACACGTGCTTAAATGTGTATCGCCATAATTGAGCCATAAAAAAATGCATGCAAAAGGAGCCAGGCATTTATCCTCATTAACAAAAGAGTTTTTTAAAAAGTTATTTCCCTCCAAACACCATTGTTTTAAATCTGTGTTCTGTGCCTAGTTCTTAGAGAGAACTAACCACATTTAAGGTTGGAAGCCTTGAAATCCAAGCCAATAATGGGATTATGATTTTCTGAAAATGCCACCCATTCCTCTTCAGTAAACCTGTTACTCAAAAGTACTGCTGCTGTTTTCTAGCAATAAGAAATTGTGCCAAAATACTGTATTCCTAACGAGTTTCTAGTAGAATGAGTCTTTTGCCATTCCCTGTGCAGTTGCATTTGAGATTCCAAAATACAGAGGTCTTCCTTGCATTATTTTATAGCTATTTTTTGTTTCATATTTACCATTTAAATCTGCAATGTGAGAAACACTAATCAGTGCTCTCAACTGGGCAAATGATCAAAGCTCTTTGATTAACATCTCAAATATCGGTAATAGGAGCATTGACGAGAAGTCAGCGCCATCCTAACAGCAGGCTTTCCATGCAGTGATGCTGTTTAAGCAGCAGGTGTCATGCTTTTCTGAGACCTGCTGCTATAAAATTAAAAAGTTTTCATGTCTCATTATGCTCTCTGATCAGGCAAAAGATGCTAAATACAGGTAAGTGATATATAGAGCAGATTTCTTTCTCGCTTAGGAATGGGCAGTTTGGTTACATGGCCAAACGCAATCCCTGGCCACGCTCTTGTTCTTTACAACAGCATGGCCCAAAGAGCCAAGTGATTATCAGTAGCTTCAACTCAGATCTGCCCTGACAGTAAATGGCTGTACATTTTCATTTCTGACAAACCCACCTGATAGTAATTTCTATGAATTTCTCAGCAGATATACAAGCATATGTCAATATTATGAACATATCCGGTTTTTATATCAAAGAGGTCATTTCAAAACTATTATTATTTTAAAACTCTCCAGGTTGTTTGATTTCTTGATGACACTTCTTGTAACCTCCACTATTTACGGGCAAACAAAACTATAGGCATCAAAAAGAGAGCCTACGCCTTCAGAATCTAAACTAATTATCGCTCCATCTGGCTTTGGCATATAGTCAGCTCTCACTTGCGGAGGGTTGAGCTGTCTTCTCCTAGAATAATGATCAATAGAAGAATTTAAAATATTAATTTGAGAAGAATTTAAAATATTAATTTGTATAAGCTCTAGAAATTGCTTTTTTTGTGCTTAGTGCTGCTAGCTGGTATCTTACTACACTGTGCTTCATTTATTCCAGATAATTGATAAGAGCAAGAGAGATCCCTCTGAAGAAATTGAGATCCTCTTGCGATATGGACAGCATCCAAACATCATTACTCTTAAGGATGTGAGTAGTCTTCAAGCACTTCAGCACTAAACAATTTTCACCTTATGGTCAGACTCACCTACTAGTCCACGTCTGAAAAATTCTTCAGTTGAAGGTCAGAGCTAAAACCAGACCCACTGAAATCAAGGGAAAAAACTGTGACTTAACAGATGATTGGATAGCAGCTGGAAGGACTGGTCAGGTTATACACTCTGCAATTACCGTCTAACGCAACTGTCAGTAAAACCAAAGGGGCACAGTGCTGGAGAACCACAAAACGTGTTTGGTTTTGCAGCACTTTTCAGAAGTGAGATCTCCCTAGGTAGGGTGTTTCGGAGCAAGCTGCTGAGTGCACACAGTGAGCCGTTCCCATGCAGCCTGTGGCATCTGCTCTGCTGGGAAGAGGAGAGCTCACAGAGTCGCTAGGGTTTCCCCCCGTAGTGTTTTAATGCCAGGGAGTATTTACCTTCTACTCAGGCAGCCTGAGAAGACACGAAGGTTATCTTTTTTCATCATTTCATATGAAGAATAGCCTTCGCTATGCTTACACGCAGTAATGACCTTCAGTCAGAGATGTTTTACTTACGCTGCCTGCAGTCTCACCTAGGATCGTCCACACCGTGTCCAATTCAGAGTTTACAGAAAAAAAATCCTGCTGGTGTCAGTGGCCAGTAGGTTACGGTTCAGAGCTTAGAGAAGTATATAAAAAACTTCTGGTCACGTGCCTTCAGGGAAGTGTCACCCAATTCCAAAGTGTTAAAGAGTATCTTTAAATCTGTGCAAAAAGGGGTTTTATATTCCTTTCCACATTCAGCATTGATGACTGTAACACCACCTATTATCGCAGCCCAGATAAAGGATTATGACACGAAAGTGGCTGTCTTCCAATTTAGACAAAAAAAAGTCTTTTACCCCTTGCAGTTGACATTGAAGGTAAATACATCTCCCGGCCGACATCAGCAATGTATTCACCACAATTGCAAATATAAACCATATAATGCCATTGGAAGCAGCTTTTGGGCAACAGTATAATACAGTTCATTTAGCTGATCACGAGTCAAAGGGAAATATTGATATTTGAAATGGCAAATGTTGCCCTGTAGAAGTGGAAAGAGAGAACACTACTGAGAAGGAGGCTTGGGTGAGAGCCAGCAGACAGTTCAGACTGCGTGAAGTGGTGCTGCTTTTAGCAGCTTGGTCTACTCTGCTGACACGGTAGCAGATCGGGAAAGCCATGTTTCTGCACAGACAAATCAGTAAATTGCTACAGACACGAGAAAAAAGTGATGATTTTATTTTACATACTTTACTTTATAACTTTATTTTATAAAGTTGCCTTTTGTGTTGTTAAGCATAATAAGCACATTGCCCACACATTAGTTGACATTTTCTTCTTGCAACATCTCACTCAAGCAAGCCAACACTGTCATTAAAGGACCAACCTTCACCAAGTAATGGGTCCAAACCATCTATTTATTCTATTACTCTTCCAGGTCTATGATGATGGGAAATACGTGTACCTGGTGATGGAGCTGATGCGGGGAGGCGAGCTCCTGGACCGCATTCTTCGGCAGAAGTGTTTCTCAGAGCGGGAAGCCAGCGCTGTGCTGTGCACCATCACCAGGACTGTGGACTACCTGCACTCTCAGGGCGTAAGCATTGCTCTTTTGGCTATCCGCATCAACCTTCTTAAAACCCAACTTTTAGGGAAAAAAAAAGCAAATAGCTGTGATTTTGCTTCTCTGAAATGTAAAGACCTTTTTTTCCCCCCCAAAAAAATCTTTCTCCATATTTATAATTACATTTGGTTTGTGAAATAGGGTCATAGGCTTTTTAGCCATTTCCCAAATGAACTGCAGTATGTTGAAGTGGTATTTTCTTTCCCAAACTACACTGATTTTCAAGCTCCTGTACCTTGTTGAGCTACTACTTGTTTACTTTTAATCAGTCATTATTGCAGTACCTGGTCCTTTAAGCAAATTTCAAACAGGGTAGCTGAATCAGCAGATAGGTAGAAAATCAAATGCTCAGCCTTCCAAATGAAGTGGCAGTTTGAGCAGCTGATGGGAAAGGCTTCTGACATGCTGTTAAAGAGCTGGCTTTTAAAATCTAAGCTCTCTGCATATGGCAATTGGAGAATCTCTCCTTTTCCACTTTTCAGGGACAAGCAGTTTGGGTGGCTAGTCAAATATTTGCTGCTTTTTCTGTTTCTTCATTAAAACAAGTGTGGTTTGTGCTTGGGCTTTTATGATTTCATGATATTTTTTTGCTGTAACAAAAAAAAGGCTGTTTTCCCACCACTGAAATGCAGCATGTCTGGTAAAACACACAACTGCTTGAAGCTGCGTGCCTACAGAAAGGGGGGGTGTGAATACATTTTGAAATGAGGAAAAAAAAGAATCCCCACCTTCAGGTGTGAGCCGCTTACATGGACAGTCGCAAGAAGACACTTACATGCATTCCTCCTATGATGGCATTTGCTTGCCTTTCAGCTAAATATTTAGGGCCCTCAGGTTCCAGGAGACTTTGACACCGAGGTGTTTGTACAGCAACCCCCTCTGACTGCCCTCAGGAGCTGGGTTCCCCCATAGAGCAGCAGCCTCTGTCTTAACACGCCATCAGAGGCTGTCGAACATGTTCTTTCTGATTTTAACAGACTTCAACCTTTTTTTTCCCTGTGTTTGTCCAAGGCTTTTAAGCAACTTTTCTCCAAAACTTGAATATTTTAGGCGTGAGCTCTTGACCTACCTCAGGCAGCAGACCAGCAATGGCAGCCAAGCCTGGATGCTCCCTGACCTCCTCTCCCTCACTTGTTACCCGCTGCTTTCTCGTTAAGGTGGTGCACCGAGATCTGAAGCCAAGTAATATCCTCTACATGGATGAGTCAGGAAACCCAGACTCCATCAGGATCTGTGACTTCGGGTTTGCCAAGCAACTGAGAGCGGAGAACGGGCTGCTCATGACTCCCTGCTACACCGCCAACTTTGTTGCCCCTGAGGTAGGACATCGTTTCAAAGCCGTGAGTAACGAGCATGCCCTTGGAAAGCGATCCTTCCTCCCTCCCTTTTCCTCGCTGCCTTTACCAGAGGAGCAAGGCAGAAAGCAGGCTACTGGCACTTGCGCAGCATCTATTACCATAACTTTCCTATTCCTGGTCTTGTCAGGCCAGTTGTTTTTCTCCTGACGGAAGCCGGTGTCTGTCTCGGACTGACGTGCACAATGATTTGGCTCATTACGAGGATAAATACCTTTTTTTTCTGTAGCTGCTTCTGCTCAGGCTGCTTCCCCTCTAGTGCACTGCGTCAGAACGCGGTAAGGCTTAAAAGGGAAATCTCAGTATCGGCAATAAGACTCAAAAGAAAAATCCATCCATGAAATCCTTACCACGCTGAAGTCAGTGGCAGCTTTGTCATTGACTTCACTGAGTTAAAGAAACAGCTCTCCTGTGGGGCTTTCCTAGTACTGATCCCCACCGTTACGGGGGATGTAGGTAAGGGCTACTTTACCATTTTTACAGACAGGGAGGGGGAGGCAGACAAAGGAGCCTGCCCCAAGCGCGGGAAGAGGTGGCTCTGCATCGCTGACCGAGTGCCGTGCCTTTCACGCAGCCCCCCGGGGTGTGGGGTTTGGGCCCCACAGCTGTTTGAATGGCTTGGGCTGTTTGCGGTGTTTGACCCTCAAGGCTTTCATAGCTGCTTCCTTCCGATGAAGGAGCAAGAGGTGAATTTCCTGGGTAAGTGTCCATTTCTTGTAATGATGCTTATCGGCAATTTTAGTATTTGCAACGCACAACTTCAGGTGTGTGTCTGCCTCTGCTTGTTATGGTCCCTGTAAGAAAAATACAAAACTATTGCCTTTCGATACTTCACCTGTCCTCTACTGTCAAATGCAACTTCCTCTGGGTTGGTATCATTCGGCAGTCTTTTCTTCCCCGTAACTCTCCTCCATCCAATGTTCATCTCCATGGTCCATAACTGGGAAGTGAAAAATGGGATAATCTTTCTGTACACATGGTCCTTTTGTGATATCAAAAGGTACAGGAATCACAGCCTTTTGGCATCAGAAGGACAACTTGATAAATTGAGACCATTACCAGGGCAGTATAAATTCAAAGCAGATTTTTTTCAACAAAAAAACCTTCCATTGCCCAGACAGATTGGTTTGTTATGTTATTGTTGTTTGGTTGTGTTTTCATTTTAGAAACTGGAATGAGCTGTTTAAACGTTACCAAAACAAGTAAAAAAAAAGTTCTGTGGCACCACAGCAGTTCAATTTCTAAACCAAAAAATAATCATGTTTGCAAGATTTAAAGCACTGAGATTTTCTCCAAGATACGATGCGCTTAAAATAGGTGTAGCTATTTTTCCCGAAGGGCTATTTTGTATAGTGTCTGTAATCACAAACGTTGCCAGCCCAATGCAGTTTCAGGTCAGACTCATCTGATTTGAACTGAGAGCAGAAATCACGCTCCCAGACAGACATTTGCGATGAGTAAGGCAGGTCCCGCTAATGCAGGAAGCGTTGGAGATTAATTGAAACATCACCAAAAGTGGCAGAGAGCTTACATAAAGCCTAAAATGCTTTCACATTTTACCTGTGATATAATGCTGCCCTCCAGCCGAGACTTTGACTTTTGCGTCCCCTGCCTGAGCCCGGCCGCCGTACACCCACGAAGCTAAACAAGGCGGCAGAAAGTCGGCTGAGCTGATGACACAAGAGGAGGGTGGCAGAGGAAGGATGACATGCTCGCCCTCTTGGATCTTCCTTTCTTTTGGAAACGTTTAATTTGAGGGTTAGATGAGAAGATGAGCGAAGACGAAGGCTATCCGAGAGAAAGAGGCCGGCTGCCACCTAGTGCGAGTCACGCTGTGTGCCGGGAGCGAGGCCGGCTCCGGAGGGAAGCCGCAGCCTGCTGTTTCCCTGCTGATGCAGCAGGGTCCTTTGGGATAAAGCAAAACGATTTTATTCTGCAGTTTTCCTCCAAAATCCATGAAGAACTGCTGTTTGGGCATTTGAAGTGATGAGATTGTTTATTAGCTTTCGTACCCATACACATCCCTGCTCGTGTCACAGCTGAGAAAAGCCTCTATTTGTAACATTTTTAATCTGATAAAACAAAGCCTATAGAAATGAAAGAGTTTATAGAAATAAAAGGGGTTATAGAAATAAAAGGGGTTCTAGAAATAAAAGGGGTTATAGAAATAAAACATCTGAGCCGTTATCAGACCTGGATGAACCCAGAGGAAGTTTATCACCGCAACACCCTGCCATGTGGTGGAGCTAAGAACCAGCTCACGCGTGTATTTCAGATCCCACCAAATTCTCTTTTAGGGTGACCTAGACCCCTCCACGGGTGGTAAATTCTTCAGCATCCATTAGAGTAGGACACCAGTGCCTCTTTTGCAAAGCTCATTCCCCGATTAATTTGTTTCTAAGACAGATGCCTGCTCCTGATTGATAATATCTGCCCCCTAGAACAAACACTGATCTTGGCCAAACTTTCCAACAGTGGCTCCCGCCAGCGCAGCGTTCTCGCGTTAACCACAGTTGCACAGACCTGCTGGAGGCATTTTCAAGGAGCAGCGACACTGATAGCTCTCACTGGATCCTGTTGTTATCCGTGGGGTAAAGTTGCTGTCAATAAAAAGTAATTCCCAGCAAAGCTTCCCCTAGTCACTGGCATGGAGTGAATGCCCCTGTCATCTAGCAGTATTCTTGCAAACCGAATGACAGCACATGGTGATACCTGCCCATCGTGTTGGGGTTGTGTAAGCATTTGCTTAATACCCTGCTCCACTAAACATCATGACTACCCCATTTTTATGACATTTGCCTGGGATTATATTGTCCTTGGTTACTGGGGGAAGACAGCGATGGCAATGAAAATGTAACTGGTCAAGAAGCAATGAGAATGGCCACACCAAAAGGTAAGTGTAGGGTATTCAGTCTCACAGGTGAAGCAAGAAGCAACTGAGTTTGTCAAATAGCAAAGAAGTTTTTCCCATAAAAAAATAACATTAACAGAGCAGGAATTAATGCAGGAATTAAAGAAATAGAAACAATTAAAACAGCCAAAGAGCGTATATATGATGTGGAGGGGAGAGAGAGGCAGAAGCAGGATTTTACCAGCTTTGTCAACAGGGGGAAATGCGGCTTTTTCTCCCTGTTTTTTTTTTTTTCCAGGTAGCAAATGTTCACTCAGCAGCATACCTGGCAGATGGCTGCTTTACCACTCATCATTTGTAAAATCTGTCAAGGCAACGTTTTCTGAAACTGTTTTTTCCTAGTAGACCTTGGGCTTTTCTGTGATAGACTTCAGATAGCTGAAATTACTCCTGGATAATAAGGCTGCAGGTCAGAGAAAGACTTGCTGAATTTGTACATTCCTTTTTCATGTGCTTTGCAAAACACTAATGTATCTACTGATCCATCAGAAGGGGACAAAAGTCTCCTTGTGTGTCAGAACTGAATAAACAGAAGGGTCGCTTACTTTTATGAGCAAGTAGGAGATCTGGAGGTGGTCCTTGAGCTTTTCCAAGCCAAGCAGAAACAAAGTTCTTCCCCTAATCTTAGCAATGCTGCCTCAGTTGGTGACTTCACTTTCACTTGGACCTGCACTTACTCCAATTGGCATTTCTTCTGGTATGCGTTATCACAAATGAAATCCAGATTTTACCCTTATTGTTATAACTCGTCATCCTGCACCAACATTGAACCTACTGCTTAGATCTCTGCCGAGTACCATGGGTCTTGTTTTCCCCACAGGGAAAAGGGATCAAGTTTTAGCCTATTATCTGTTAAGTCCAGCCTATATGTGGCCACTTTTCTTAATACACAAGTAAGATGAGAATAAGGTTTTTACCTTTCTTTGCCGTTTTCGTGCTTCTTTACTAGTCTGACATTAGACAGGCGTTAGTGTGCATCCATTTGCGTATCAAACCCAAGCTGAGCTGAGACGTACTTTTCGCTGTCACTCAGCCCTACGCTTGTTGCATCATCCACAGCGTTCTTGGTAACCTTCAAGGTAGGAGGATACGTTTCAAAGTATTAACGAGCTTTTTTTAAGAAACACTTTAAAACACTGAAATGTTGTTCTGCTTTGCTGGGTGTTAGATGGTCAGAGAGGCTCCAACAAACTGCACATTTTGCTCCTGAGGCAGCCACCTGTTCAAGCCAGATACGTGGTTAAGCCCTGGAAGTATCAGCAGATACAGCCATTAATCAGTATTTTTTGAAGACCAGAAGCTAAGAATTCAGGAATGCAGATTAACCTATTTTCGTCTCTCTCTTTCCTTCACATAGGTCCTCAAACGCCAGGGTTACGATGCAGCCTGTGACATCTGGAGCTTGGGGATCCTGCTGTATACCATGTTGGCAGGGTGAGTAAAAAAGTTTTCCTAGAGCAGCAGTCTCCAGTGGGCTCAGCACTTCAGCACTGATTAAGCCAGAAAGGACACAGCAAACTGGCCTCCTTTGAGAAATGTGCGCAGTTGTGTGAGGCAAGAAAATATATGCCGAGACCTAGAATTGGAATAAGTTTTTCCGGAGCGCATAAATATCTTTGACACTTTACAAGTTGTTTAGGTTTTTAACAGCCTGTGCCTGTAAGTGTTCACTGAGACATGGACTTCTAAAAGGCTCACTCACCCCTTAAGCAGTGGGCAAGTTTTACCCTAGGGGAGGAGTGTAGGAGTATGGAGATACCACATTCACCTTGTCTGTAAGAGGATGTTCATTCATTCCTATTAATACATGTATTCTCTTCAGCTTCTTACTTCTCCCACCGTTGTTGTTATCGAGGTATCTGAGCACTTTTAAAGGCTGAAAAAAAAAGCCCCAAACATAGTTTTCAGATGCTATTTGAAAAATATGCTGCTGAAAAGACAGAAGGTAAATGAACAGGCCAGCAAGAACAGCAATAGGCAGCAGGAACTTTTGGGGGGGTACTTGGCAAAAAAAAACCCCCTACCAATGTATTGGCTAAAGTTAAACATTGACACGAGAAGACCCAGAGAAAGAGGCAGATTGAAATAAGCAGTGAAGGATAGGAATGAGATGCACTGGGGTGAATGGGCAACACAGTGCGCAAACCCAATCTGGAGTTATCAGGCTCCTGAATTTCCTTTCTCTTGCTGGCCGCAGGGTATGGTATGTGCACATTTATCGTACCTAAGTGCAGCTTGAAACTTTTTAGTGACCTCTGACAGCTCTTTAATCTGCTTCATGATCATTCAGCTGTGGCAAGAAGCTTGGATTCATTCCTAGATTTATACAGAAAACAAAGAGTTGGGCCCTACCTTTCTGTTATTCATGCCTCTTGCCTCGTGGATTATAGAAGAGGTGCCAGGAGTTTCTGTCCCATCTATTTTGTTCCTGAGTACAAATGTGTTCTCCATTAGCTGAAATATATTGTGACTTTCTGGAGCAGTCTTTCAGTCTGCTGGGATCTCCAAGAACCTGTTTCTATTTGGCTAACGCCATAGATTTGCAGTGATACACAACCAGAATCAGTGAACTAAAATCAGTACATTACCCAGTCACATTTGTTTAGCTGATTACATTCAAAATGCTTCTTTCTTAAATGTGAAAAAAAATATCCAAATGTATTTGAATCTGAAATGCAAATTGCACAAGTTAGTGGATATTAAATTTGCCAGCATGTGCTATTAACTTGTCTCTCCCTTTTTTCTACACTTACAAGAGAAGAGTAATGCAAACAGTTGAGAAGGGCTGACTTTTTAGGTGCCACCACTGCATTTAGGGATGGTCTTGTTCCCCCTCACCAGAGGAGAGTTCGTAGGCACTGACTGTTATTTGTAGCCAGAATTTTATTCTCTCCCCATCATCACTGTGAGCAGAGAGGGCTCAGACAGCCAGGACTGGAGCACGAGCCTGGGATCCTGTTGACGCAGGTAGTGACAGACTTCGGAGTTTTAGCCAGTCCTTAACTCTTAGTGCATCCCTCTTGATAGTTACAGATTGCAACAATATGATGTGTGTATTTGGGCTGAACTTCTGTGAAATCTGACATGTTTCTGAAAATTAGAAAATACAGCATGAGGAATTGAATGTGCTATTCGAAACCAGGTGGGATAGGCAGCTGTGGCCAAACCAACTGTTTAATGATCTAAAAACCAAACTGGCAAGTTTTCAGAAGAGAAAAGAGGTGGAAGGAAAAGCATAAAAATCCCAGATACACCCCCCTCCCCCTTCTAAACCTACACAGCTGTTCAAGATTGCGGAGTAAAATTTGGCCTGGTAGATCTTAGTCAGCAGCAAAAATCCTATCACTTGTCACACGATGAAGACACAAAGCGTGCCCTCTGCATGTGACCCTAAGCCTGGGTGTGTATTACTAGTCATTTCTTACTGGCTAGATCAGGAAGATTTTAAATAACTTATAGCAGATAATTTATTCTGCCCAACAGACTTACAGATTATGGTTAACAAAGCACTGCAAAATAGATTATAAAGGGTTCTTTTTTCTTTTCCTTTTTTCTGTTTCAGCTCCTAATTTTTCTCCTTTATTGTTTTTATCGTTTCTTGCCGTTATCAAGGTACTTCTATTGGCAGCAAAGCAGAGTTAAAACAATTAAAGAGGTAAAAACCTGTCTTTTTTTTAAAAAGAATACTTTATTCCTAAAAAATGAGAACAGAACAACAATTTTTAAAAAACAATTAAGTAATCAGTTTTTTTCTCTGCAGAACAACTTAATATGAGGAAACACCAGGCTGTATAGCTTTTGAGGGAAAATGAAGCAGCAATGTCTGTGGTCCATTCTGGAACCAAAGTCCTTTTGTAATCAGCAGCAGTTAGCACTAGATCCTAGAAATCATATGCTTGCAAATTACACTGTATTTTTTCTCTTTGTTTTTTGAATAGGTTCACTCCTTTTGCAAATGGACCAGATGACACCCCAGAGGAGATTCTGGCCAGGATTGGAAGTGGCAAATATGCACTTACAGGAGGAAACTGGGATTCAGTATCTGATACTGCAAAGGTCAGTGAACACTTTCTCAGATTTTTTTCTTGTTCACTGAAACGGGCTTGCAGTCTGCAATTGTAACAAACTTGAGAGAGATAGGCAGAATGATTATTTCCCAGTGCCTCATGAAATAAAAGCTTTCTTCTTTATGTTTCTGTCACTCCTCATGAAATAGCGTGTCAGGAATTTTGGTAGTTTATTTCATTAAACTAAAGCATAATACAGCACCATCAGTTGTGAATGCTCTTGAGATTTAAATAGCACAGAACTCTTTTTTGGTGCAAGCGAACTTTTAACAGAAGTGTAGGTCAGTCAATGCCACAAACTCATGGTCTATATGTGACTCACCTTTATGGTCCTCAGAGTTAACCAGGAGTTTACAAATTAGTGTTTTTAACTCCTGTACAGTTCACAGCTTAGGCTGCCCATCTATCACGAAGCATGGAAACCCCATGAGATAAAATTCATCTGGTGCTGAGGCTTTTGGGCATGAAGCTGTGCACTGGTCTATGAGACAGGTAGATGAGCAGAAAGCTGGCAAGCTTCCAGTTGCCTGGCATTAAGCAGAAACTTTAACAGGATTAGTGATTCCTGCAAGAGATTTCCATTTTAGCAACTGGTAGTTTCCAATGGAAGAACATTGATATAACCCACCACATAACTGCAAGCAATCCTAGTAACGTACTCATCTTGCTACCAGCCCCATGAGCCTTACAATGAATTTTTTTATCAGATGTCCAGTTTTGAAATTAAAATGTTCAGACATGGTAGAACTGATCTCATTGAATTTTAGCTGCCTGAATGTTCGATTTCTATTCTAAGCTTCACTTGTAAGCATGCTTTGCAGTCAGTGAGGAGATGCCCCCAGACGGCATCCTCTCTAGGTGGCGTTTATCCCCCCTATGAGGTAATTAGCGCTCACTCAGTAAACTGGATATCCTCCACATTATCTTTTGACAGGATTATCAACTGAGAGTTGAAAAGACTTGAAAGACTTGAAAATTTTGAAGATCAGACTTTACACTTAAAAAATATAAGCATATCTGAAGTGCATCCCTCTCTCCGTTGGACATGTTAGTGATAACACTGCTACTGGGAAGATCTTAGTAAAACCTGCGCTGCTATTAATTACCTTTTCCCATTTACTGTTTTCTTCCTTTCAAACCCAGGACATTGTGTCTAAGATGCTTCACGTAGACCCTCATCAGCGCCTCACAGCAGTCCAAGTCCTAAGACATCCATGGATAGTGAACAGGGAGTATCTGTCTCAAAACCAACTCAGCAGACAGGATGTTCACCTGGTGAAGGTACATCCTACCCCCCTGCCTCTTCCTTCCTTGCAGAATGAGCTGACATTTGTGCAAATATTCTGGAAACTGATAGAGGAATTGGGAATGTTATTTGCCACAGAGGCCAAATTTAATATGGCACCATATTAACAGTAAAGATTTTTGTCCTGTCACCTGCTTGATATTTCTAACTTCAGGCTGCATTGTAATGACCTGGTGGGACTCTGTACTGCCACCACATTGAATCAGAGACACCCCAGCTGCCTGCCAGCCTAAATGTTGTTATCATTTCATGGAAATGGTCCATGCACGTCCACTTTTTTCAGGAGGTTGAATAGGGAGAGGGAGGTGAAAAGCATCAAAGAACTGAATTTCAGCTCAGCATTTTCTCTTTCTCTATTTTACAGGGTGCAATGGCAGCCACTTACTTTGCTTTAAACCGAGCGCCTCAGGCACCAAGGCTGGAGCCTGTATTGTCCTCCAATCTGGCTCAGCGGAGGGGCATGAAAAGACTTACCTCTACCAGGTTGTAGCAGTACCCCCAAAAGGCCTCTTTGAAGACCCACAGTTTATTATTTGAGAGATTCATCTTTACTTGGCTAGCAGAACTTTTTTGGGCAACCTGCACATGAAATCGCCAGAACTAGCAGAAGCCCAGCGTAAGGCAAAGATCTCCTTTGCTCCGTCATTTCTTTTACATTCCAGCTAGGGTCCTGAGTTTAACAACTTCACAAAGATGTGCCAATTTTGCCAGTAGCTCTGTTTCCTTACTGAGATAAAGCCAAATAAAGTAGCTGTGCTCCATCCTTCCCATCCTAGGAAATACTATTTTTGAGTCCTTAAGGTGTTCCGTGGGAACACCGTTTTCATTTTGTTTCTCAAGAAAAGCACTTTTTGCTACGAAGAACGCAGTTGGGTTTGAATGTTTTCAGCTGTTCCAGATGTGTCACGATGAAGTGGCTCGGCTGGTCACCAGTAGACATCTACTGATCTCCACTCACCCCAGGAAGAGTGAAGGCTGCAGAGACACATGAATAACACCTTACTTGAAATAAGTGCTATACAACATGAAAGAGAGGGAGCTGTCGGTAGTGGAAATACCTTCTGATTTCAAGAAATCTTTTGCACTTTGCCCCTGCCCTCTCTGGAATGACGCCAGCACCGCTCGAGGAGGGCACGCCACCAGCCCTGACTTACTCGGTCTCCGAGAGCAGAAATCCTCTGCGAAACTCGGTCGTCTGAGAAAATTATTGGGTCTTACAAGACTGTGGGAAAGCATTCACATAAAATAGTGTGAGCAGGAGCCTGTGGATCAGGGGAGAAAAGGGTGTCTGGTCTCCGCCAGCAAGCAAGAAGTCTGAGAGGACTAGGCGAGGGGGGACTGAGCAGAGGCAGGGAGCGGCGTGGGTGACTTTGAGGACAGTAGGCCAAAAGGCCCATGGCGGCACGGTGGGGAGTACTGCCAATGGGAACTAGCGTGCACGTGCTTGGGGGGCAAACTGGGACTCCCTTTAAAAGCGAGGGGAGCAGCTCTGGTGGGCCAGAGTGCCACCCTGGAGCGAGCACGGTCATTTCCAGTCATTGCTCCCTCCCCTGCCCCAGCTGCTCACCCGAATCCGCCTCCATCACCCGACGTCTCATGCCCCTGCCTCGCTGTTCTGCTCCAGCAGAGCTAAATTCTCTGTGCCCCGCGTGTGTGCAGAGAATACCCACTTCTGAAGAGTCCAGCTAACACTGTTACAAGCTTTAATGATAATAAATTATGGGGAGAAATGGGAGGATGCTCTGCTTTTATATTTATATAAATATGTACATGTGTATTTATATACATATAAAACAAAAGTTCTGTACCCTAATACCTGGATTTTCCAGGTTCAGGGAAAGAAAACTTTGTTGAAACCGTCTCAGCAAAATGGACCTTTTTTCTCATTCCCTGATTTCAAAAAGGCGAGGAAGGTTTGTGGCGCCGGATGTGAACTATTTTTTTATTCTTTTTCTTACCCATCTTGGCTTATGGTGGTCACAAGCTGACCAGGATTCTTCTTTGTACTGCTTTTGTTAATTTTTGTTTTCCGAGTAAATTTTGTCACCTCAGATGCTTTGTGGGAAAAGCTAATGTGCTGTGTTGGCTTCTTTTTCTGTTGTGATGGGGAAAAAAAGAAAAATGTGAACATGGAGCTTTGTATGCTAGAGATGGTAACTTTTCCCTCTCGGTGCATCTCGGTGCTGAACTGGAATTACCAGGTCATTGCCTCAGAGCGTCCAAGGGAATAAGGAGTTGCATTTGCTATAGCAGTATGCTTCCTAAAACTATCTCTGTTCCAATGTTGACTGAAACTTGTTTGCATTAGCCTATTTTTAAATTTAAATTTATTCTTAATAATTTAAACCGATATTTAATGTTCAGGCTTACGTGCTGTGCACAGAGGACCGCTGCAAAGCAGCTCTCCTTGAAGCCCTTCTCTTTTCTAGAATAAACAGTGCTGTCAAACTTCACACAGCGGCTGAACTCGCTTGGGACTGATGGGTGCAAACACACGTAGGGGTGTGTCTGCAACCACAGAACAGTGCTGTCAAACTTCACACAGCGGCTGAACTGGCTTGGACTGATGGGTGCAAACACGCATAGGGGTGTGTCTACAACCACAGCCCTCATTCCCTCCTCCAGCTAAGCTGAGCTCAGTATCAGCTTTTTGCTACCTTTGCACTTTTCCTCTAGCTAGAAGTTAAGTCTCATCTATTTCTGCTAGCAGCACACTGCGAGGTGGGTCCACAGGCAGGGGATATCCTGGCTGACGCAGAAACACTCTGGCCAGGCCTTGTTTCCCTGGAAGTGACTTCTGTCCTGGAAGAAGGCAAGGTGGGCACAAGGATGCGAAGGACAACCTGGAGGGAGGGCAGGATTTTCTGGGGTCCCAGCTAATTTGGGCTGTTTCAACAAAATGTATTTTTAATGGTCAGTGTAATTGTATTGTTTACGGGCAAGAGTGTTTTAAATAATTTGTACAGCTTTTGTCTCCCCCTGAGATTTCCTGGTCATCTTTCATTGCTTCAGTTTGCTTTCTCTTCACAGTCACTGGAAACAGTCTAATTCACTCTTGATACAGTCGGTCTTAATTCTTTGAGCATTTTTTGCATCTGAATATTATTGTAGGCCAAGCTTACACGATGTTGCTCTTCCCGAAGGTTAATGGTTTGAATCTCTTCCTGATTTAGCTCTTTCTAACCCACCAGCTACCACCCTAGTAGCCATAAAAGGTTTGGGCCACACACAGAATAATACCTGTTGATGCTCATTAGTTACTTTATAAGCCAATAAATTACATATAATGGGGTTTGCTTTTTAAGATTTTGTTGCCAGTGCATTCAGATGTATGCACGTGCCTGTGTATATGTAAATACATACACAAAACCCATGCTGTCCCAGCTTGTCCAAATGAGGATGGAAGTGCAGTCAGTGCTTGAGGTGATACTCAGAAGAGTTTTGTCTGCAGTGTTCTTGAAAACCTGTCATTGAAAATGGTAGTGGTTACTCTGGGTGTGCGTAGGTGGCCGTGCCCATCCATGGAAGAAGCTGTCCCATCCAGCCCCTGCTCTGTCCCAGCTGTGCACCACCATGCACCCCCGATATGGATCAGTCCCCCCTCCCTGAGCTTGCTATGGGAGGTGCTCTTCTGAGGGGTTTCTGACCTCTTTCAGTCAAGATGAACCGAGTTAAACCGTTTCCACCGTCAGTCTTGCTGATCCAGCTGACTTGGACTGAAACACAAGAGCCTTCATCAGCAAATCCGAGGGCCGGTCGCTCCTGGCAGAGGGGGAAGAACACGCCGTTGCACTCGTTACTTCAGACTGATAGCACCCGCTGCTTCCCCAGCCCAGCTGGAGCCAGACGAAGACGCATGGCCCTGGCCTAATTACTGCTACGGCTGCTGTTATACCACCATCTCCTTTCCAGACTCCTCGCTACAGTATAGCTCAGCAATAAGTATTTATTCTTTCTAGGAGAAAACTTAACTGAAAAAGGTTTAGCCTCTCTCTGTCTCTCTCCGTATTTTTACTAAATGCTATGTTTAACTCCTGAAAGTCTAAAAATCACTTCCAGTTAGATCATACTGTCTTGAAGGTTATTAGTCCACAAAGTGACCTAGTGCCTTAGGCTGTTACAAATAATATAGTTACATTTCTGAACCATCAAGGTGTGTGAAGCAATGACCGTCCAAAGCATGCTAACGTGTATCAGTCACAGACAGCTCATCTGGACAGCCACTGCAAAAGCTGTTCTTTAGCTCAGTAGAGAGGAGTCTGCCCAGCAAGGAGGAGGCATCTCCCCACGCTTTGCAGAGCTGGACCGCACCCCTGCAGCTCCAGGACTTTGAAGAAGCCAAATGGTTCTGATGCAATGGTTCCTACACAGCACCACAGCTTGTTATATGGCAAAGGTGTGGGAGATGCTACTCAGAGGAAGAGCTAACCCCTGTCCCCCACTAATTTTCATTTGTTTAAAGTCTGTTTAATTTTTTCAAGCAAGTTTTAGCAGCAGATAGCATTTATAAAGCCTGACTTTTTCAGCAAACCACAAGTGACCCTCGCAGACACTTCATAATCAATCTCTGCATCTGAAAAAAATGGTTATCTGACAACAGATTTCAGATCATCTTGAGAAGCTCCCTGAGATATTGGGGATAACCCAAGCAGAGAGAGCTGGGAGAAGGACATCTTGTGTTGCATGATGTCGTGACACAATGCTGTGTGTCATGCTCTTACAGATTGTGTGTCCCTGTGCTTCACCTAACCCTGGATGTAATACCGGGACTGTTCTCAGCCAGATTTAGGGTTGGATAGGTTTTGGACTGAATTTGAAAGGGACAATTAATCTGTTGGCTTACAGGGTAGATCAGTCTCTTTTAGAAATCAGTAGGCAAATCTTGAAGGCACAGGCTGGTTTTACCTGCGTAGTGCAGTGCTCTCTCTAACAACATGTACCCAGCTCTGGTACAGCCGAATACATTCGGATCTTGGTCAAGTATGGCAGTTGCTGTGTGTCTGTGATGAGTTACTCCTGGGCTTGGATCATCCCCTAAGCCATGAGTGCCACAGGGGTTTCTTATGCCACCGGTCCACAGAGCTTATGCCAGCATATGTGAGTGCTGATGCTAAAAAAGGCAGGCAGTCGCTTTCTCTTGAGCTCAGCTGCTCATCTGTCCTTTCACACCTCCCTTATCCAGGTCATCGTGGGGCAAAGCAAATGTTTGTGCGTCAGAACAAGTGGCTGGGGACACCAGGAAGGCAACAGCATCTTTTTTTGCCAGCAGTGCTGTCAACACATCGGTGTGTCACCTCTTTCCCTCTGTTCCCAAGTTATGCTGAGCTGAGCTCAGGTGTGGCTCAGAGCCAGGGTGATAAATGCAGGGATGTTTGTACAGCAGCAGGTTACCAGTGCCAAGCTGCGTGCACAGAGGGGGAGGACAAGTCCAGGCTTCTGCAAATTCACCACAAGTTCATATAAACTCCCAGTAAACAGGAGGTGTAGGGC